CACTATAATTAGCTTTTACTACGATATTGTTTTACATGATGTGTTTATAATATTACATAATATTCTAAGTTTATAATCATAATATACTATAATATAATTACTGTAGTATGTATTTATCAATTTACTAATACGTTATAATTATAAGTTTTTTTGTAAGTTTAAAACCTTACATGGCATATATTAAGTGGTATTGATTCTATTGAAAACTTACAATCATGATGTCGTATGATAAATATATGTATATTATCACATATCATTAATGATGTAGTTTGATAATAGAGTTACATGTATTTTTTATTTGTAGGTTTAAGATTTAATCTCTAATATGTATGCACCAAATAAATTATATTATCACATTTTTGTTTGTCTCTTTTAAGAGTATTTAGTATAAAGATTTGAAATTAATAATTCGTAGTTTAATTAAACTAATTAATTTTAAAAAATATTTAAATTATATACAATAATAACTATGGATCATGTGATATCATTTACCTATTATTTGCTGATTTAAATTGTTAATCCAAACACCTAATATTTGGTTTTAAATGAATTCCACAAAAAATTGTGTAATTCGTTTTTGAATCTATATCATCATTGTATTTAGTTTGATTAAAAAATTTTTAATTCTGATTATTTGAATTCCATAATTCATACCCTTATGTTTAATTTTATCAAAATTTTGTGAAAGTCATTTATAATTCTATGCTTCTTATGTTTTTCTTTTTGTTGACCTATACTATAATTAGCTTTTTTAATTGAAGAAAACAGAGCAAGAGTGATGTTGAGAAGAAGTGGAAATTATAGTCTGTGAGTAACGATAATTAAAACTGCTTTAAATGTTAAATTTGTGAAGAAAAAACTAACCGTATCAAAGAATATAGTCCGATTACGAATATCAAGTTCTTTCTTTCCAAGATGTCCCTCAATTCCTCGATAAGCTGTCTCTTTCTCTTGCTCTGTTGAAAATGTAGAAGCAAATGTAATCATGTTTGGACACTTGTATATCTTAATTTTTATGGCCGATTGGAACTTGAGTGCAGAACTTCCAGCATAGAAACTTGACAACTTGTCACAATAATGTAGCTCAATGGAGTTTAGCCGTGGGAATATCAACTCTGTGTTCGCTACCTCCTCAACTCCTTTTACCATAATCACTTGTTTCAAATCTGTATAGTGTGATACATACAAGTCCTCGAGGTGCCCAAGGCCTGATACCATGGAAGGGGTAAAAAGGTATTCTAAGCCCCAACAATAAGAAATTCGTAGTCTTTTAAGCTTTTTGAAATTCAAGATTTCTTGAGAAGTCACAGTATAGGAAGATGTTATCCACAACTGATTTATTTCAATCTCAGACAAGTCCAATTCCTCTAAATTTGAAAACACAACCTGCAAAACAGACAATTCTTTTACTAAGAAAAAGCATATATTTCAATTTTTTGATATATAAGACAAACAAAAGGAGAAAAAGAAAAAAAAAAGAATAAAATATAAGTTCTACCAATTGAAGCTGTTAGAAATGATTTGAATTAAATACTATAATTGCTAAAATAAAAAAAGATATAATTTGAGTTATGAAATGAGTGGACCAATAATATATAGTTAATATCTTTTAAGAAATTATTAAAACACTTATTTAAATTAAGAACCTATTTTTTAATCTTTATTTTGACATAAAGAACCAATAATACTTGTTTTTAGTTGAATTTATAAGAATGCACATTCCTCTTAAGTTAAAGAGTACTAATTTCTGTACCAAAATAAAAGAGTACTGGTTTCTACTTTCCATTACCACTTCAAAATAGTGAGTGTAGTAGGACAACTAGCGTGATTTTGTGAGTAGAACAATAAATGGGGATCCACGTGGCAATGGGACATGGATCTATACCGCCTCTATTACGTTTTTTCCTCTTT